GATTTTCTTTTCATTTAGTCCAAAGCTCTAAAACTTGAGTTTGAAGTAGGATGCTACAATAAAAAAATCATTGAAAGTATATTGCCATTTCTTGCATTTCAAGCATTATTTTGTGTATAAAATACCCTCTGCACTTTTATAAATAACAATCAACTATGAGCTTAATCAATCATTCAGTACTTGAAAAATTAACAAGGAAATTATTTACCATTACAACTTGAAGTCCGCCATGCCATAACCTGATCGCTACCCAAACCTAGCTTTGAGAATAAAAATAATTTGTTATGAATCCTGGTGCCTTTTCAAAGGTTGCTACCATCTACAACACACTGATGTGCGTTTACATGTTCCCAAGTTGCAGACTTCACAACCTAAAAAGAGTTAATTATTCAATTCAAGGTCAAACATGACAAAAAAACCCATCAGAATAGATGAATACAACATAAATTTTTAATAGAATAGAAATTGCTTGAATAACAAAATAGTTTGCCATACAAAAATGTTCATATTTTATATGGCATGAATTGTGGACTATAAATTTTCATTTATTAATTCATATATTTGATTTGTGATAATATAACTAATAGGTCATTAGAATCTACGACATTGTATAATAATATTTATGTTTTTTGCTAACTTTTGATGTAACATAAACAATAGTCGGGATGTTTTTTTTATGACGAAATTAATCTACATTATGTAAAGGTGGCTTCATTGTGAAAGAGGTAAGATAGAAACTAAAAAAGAATTACATCTTGTAAACATTTTTTTCTAACAATCCTCTTAATAAATACTTAAAAAATAAATAATTACTATAACTTAGAAATCATAATAAGTATAATGGTTATTTAAATTTTTTTGTAAATATATTATATTATACATGATAAAAAATTTGTATTCTTATTTTTATGTGGATATTTTTGTCTTAAAAAAAAAGGGAAGAACGGGAACAAATTGCTTTTTTCCTTCCCTAGGAATGTGAAAATCAATATAATAGGAAACCAACGGAGATTTTGGTTTGTAAAAGGTTCTTGATTCTTGAAAGAAATGAAATTATCAAAGAAATTTTAATAAAAGGAAATCATAATCTGAAAGCATTTGGGCAAATAGATTTTTCATTTTCATTCATATTTGAACATTTCTGTCTATTGTATATATTTCATAATTTTTCATTTTTTTTATTTTTTTACAAAGATGTTTTAGTCTTTCAGTAAAAAAATGAAAAATAATACTGAATACATTTTCCCCTCTCCTATCAAAATTCACGAAACATGAAATTTATTGAATTCCATCCATTTGGAAGCCTAACAACCAATAGAATGGATTCCTGAATTCCTATTGCATAAAGATTCCATGAACCAAACGCTCACAAAGAACATATCGGTAATATTATTTTTGTTATTTTTTCTTAAGTTCATGTTTTTTTTTTGTTGCAGTTACTGATGCTCATAGTTTTTGATGTAGAAGATGTTGGCACTCCTCTCCAAACAGATCTTTTTGTTCAACTCTTGAAGGTTACTATTATTATTTATATTATTTGATTTTAAGTAAAATTGGAACTGAAACCAAGCGTAACACACCTTATCTTTACATTATCACGTTGAGAGAATGTAACAACAACCTTGGAAATATAATTTTTCTTCTTTGCTTCTAAACTCAATAGGGGTAAAAAAGACGATAATGTGAAACATCAAACACAAATTGTATAATTCGGGTTTCTTAATTAGAAAACTTCCACAAAACCTAACCTTATTCTTGAACCAAACAATAATCGAAGGCTAAATTTGGATTATATAACTGAAATAAAAGCTAATAAAGGGGGTAACAATAACCCACCTTTACAAATCAATTTTCTAATAAGAGCAGTAATCATTTGGAGAGTGCATTCTACTTTATTAAGTATGTTGTATACACCTTCAAGAGATTATTGAAAGCATAATCAATTTACCCAAATAATCAAAACTAATAATCAATTTCAAGAAACTGAATTAGGGCTTAGCAAAGGTTTAGAGTCTTGTGCAAACAATAGATCGGCAGACATGATGTTTATATGAATGACTAGCCGTTTACCCGCGCTAAGCGACGGGTGTGAATAATTTATTTCGGAAATTCTTTTCCATAGACGATTAGTGTTTTTTGCGCAAATAGTTTACTACATCTAAATAATTATCAATAAAAGTTATGTTAATTAAGGGTATGAAATAGAATAGTTAGAGTAGATATTACCTAGATATTGACGGGTGTGGAGAGAGGGTCATAGCTGATATATTTTTAACTTCTGCATGTACATGTTCACATAAACAAACACACATGCACACACATACCTGGTTAAAGATATATATATATATATATATATATATATATATATATATATATATATATATATATATATATATATATATATATATAGAGAGAGAGAGAGAGAGAGAGAGAGAGAGAGAGAGAGAGAGAGAGAGAGAGAGAGAGAGAGAGAGAGAGAGAGAGAGAGAGAGAGAGAGAGAGAGAGAGAGAGATTAGTTTCAATTCAAAGATTATTTTGTTTTAAGAAGCATTTCATATTAAAAATAAGACACAATGTATTGCCAAATATCAGTAAACATTATGGATTGGATTATAGAGATTGTGTGTATGTGTGTGCGGAAGGAGGAGGGGGAGGGAGTAGACACTGGATGGTCGTCATAGGAACTAAATTGAAACTGATTTCTTAAACAAAATGCATACATATAAAAACTTTGACGTTCGAAGCATCTAAGAATTAATGAAATATGCATCTTTTTAAATTTTTTTTGTAACGGTGAATAGTTTTTCAGGGACGAATAGTTTGATTTTACAAAATTTCATAATCCAAAAAAATGCAACAAATAAAAGACATTTAATATTAAAATATAAATATTGTCTAGTAAATTATGAACTATTAGTAATCAAAAATTAAAAATGCAAACTAATATGTTATCAATTTAAAGAGAGGAAACTAATATGTTATCAAATTACATTGAAAAACACAACAAAAAAAGCTAATTTATTATCAAATTTGCATTGATACATGCACTCACACAATCATTCGTATCCATCGATTTTTCAAAAGAACACTTGTAAATAAAAACAATAGATTCTATACGATAAGATTATAAACCTAATCAAAATCAAATCCAATATAAAATGTGTACCGTAAATAGTTAAACTAAGAACAATAGATTTATCTAATAATTACAAACCTAATTAAAATTAGGTACAATATAAAAATATGTACAATAAATAGTTACTTATGACTGAAAATATTATTAAATAGTTCTAAGATTTAACATCTTTCGAACAAATTTCACATCAATTTCCTGATGGTGAGAGTACTAAAATTATTTAAAACAAGTGTATTATCAGCCATCAAACTAATACATGTACGTAAATTTTAGGATTTTTATGACAATACACTAATATTTGCATTTCATTCACACTGAGTTGCAGTAATGATATTTGCATTCCATTCACACTGAGCTGCGGTAATGATATCAGCAACGGTGTTGAAAGTTCTTCATTTCATCATAAGATTCTTAGCAAAATCAAGAGTCATTTGTTCACAATCTGATATTTTCACAATATCATTGATTGACTCAAAATCCTCCACATAAGCCACCTCAACAATTTGCCTACAAACTCAAAGGGTAATTTAGACATTTAACAAACAGTCAAATAGTCAACAATATGACTACATTACAAAATTTAAAAAAATAATAAAAAAACCCACAACATCATGTGATAAAAATTTGATGACCCAGAAATGCAGCCTCCATGGATGGATGCAATGTTCAAAAATGACATAATGTCCCCTTTTCTGTTAACAAAATTCTTAAATGCTCTGTAAAAAAAAATTAGAAATTGCGTAATTATGAATATTTTTTTGTTAACCTGAGAATACATAGCTGATAGACCTCTTAATGTTTAAATTTTTTTGGGTAAAAGACATCACCTATGCTCCTTTTAATGAAACTTCTACCATTTAAATGATAATAAAATTAGAGTTCAACCCGCATCTAACTGCACAATTAATAAGCAGAGATGGTTAGCGTGACGTCTACCACTTAAAGGTTTCTATTCGAAAAGAACAAAACAATGGCTACAGTCCATAGATTATAGAACAATGGGACAAATTCCACCTAAGTTTTCCTCTCAAATAACAACTTATAAAAATGGCCTTTCCGATCAACTTCTTATAAAAAAAGCCAATTATAAAAATAATTTCAAATCGCTACCTAATCAAACCTCCTCAGATCAGGTTTACACAAAAGATAGTGGGGGCAAATTAGTAAATAAATAATGACCTTGAGATCTATATTTCTTGAAACAACAATGCACTTTTGTGTTTTCCAGAGTTCAACCCCATAAAAAACAGGCCTTTGTTAACTAAGATTACCACAACAATCCCCATATGCATTCCTTATACGCCTAATCTGTTGAAAATAATGAAAAAAGATTACTCTTAACATAAATCATAACATTAATTATGAATATTCAATGTATCACATGAACAAAGATAATATACAAAGGATTTTGTTACCTCTTGAGGATTAGAAGGTTCAGGGTAGATCAAGCACAATGATATCGTGCCAATGTACTGAACAACAAAATACAGAAACCACAATTGTTTATGTACGAAAACAGAGAAATCAATATTTTACCCAAATAAATGTTAAGACTCCTGAATCTTCAGATTTCACACATATATATCTGTCATATTAAACTCATATTTTATACCCAAATAAATGTTAAACCATTTTTAGTAGCATTACTTGGTCTAGTGTCATGTTATTTCATGTTGATAGATATTATGAAACATACCTATATACCACTCCAATGTTAGGAGTTAATATCTGAATCTTTTGCACCTGAAGTCAACATAATTGGATTTTAGAATCGAAGATGAACCTAACCCAATACAAAACCTTATTTTTTTAAGAAAAAATCCAGAGTATCATCTCTGATTTAAAGACTTGATCATAAACATATCATTCTTCTACAACCAATACACTTATCTCGCCCTTCTCCAGAAGGTCATAAAATGCCCTTGTTTTTCTTTGCTCATTCCAGTGATGCATTTTCCACAAACCACCACAAGCTAACCCAAGCACTGATCCAATGATTAACTCCTTGACCACACTTGGGCCTTTTAACACTGGATGAGCAACCCTACCAGCAACCATGGTTAATTCTGTAATCAAAACCCAACAAACATGAATATCAGTAAATCTTCCCATGACCTTAAAGAAACTGTTGCCCATATAAATATGAGTATATGACAATAAACATACATGTCTAGAAATGAGGCAAATGTTACTTATATACACGCACACAAACCTTCACAAGCAACTCTAACTCATGGATTTTAAAATGAATCAGATTAATAAAAGATCAGTTCACTATATATATGAACAATTTCGACACAAATATAGAATACAGAGAAATGAACAGAGTTTTTAGAATGTATTAAGATAACTTACACAACACATCGAAAAAACAAAGACATGCCCATGAAATGAGTAGACTTTTACTGCTATAATTAGCGTTTGCTCGCCTAAAGTTAAGGGCTATGAGTTTATACAGATCAAATGTTTTCCCCACCAATCATACTTCATTTTTCCATGATTTAAATTCATAGCTTGGACTGGAGCTAAAACAAAAGATGAAAAATGCCCTAATCCATTACTAAGTCTATCAATAAACAATGAAAAATGGCAATAACGATTTTGATAACAATCGATCAAGTCAAATAGCACATAGAAGTAAATAAATCGATTCAAGTTTATATTCGTTATACAACAAAACAAATCATATAAGAGTGAACACACCAACACACCAGAGTTTCCCCCAAATCGTTGCATGCTAGTCACAAATTCCAGATCCATTTTGTATCCGATAGCGTTCCCCCAAATCATTGCATGCTAGTCACAAATTCCAGATCCATTTTGTATCCGATCGCTGTGGTTTGCTAAGAATCGAACGAAAAGGTGGTTGATCGTGGCAGCGGGATAGGGTTAGAGTTACTCGTCTTGACATAAGGCATAAGTGGCGGACAACGGTGACAGAAAAGGTGGAGACAGGTGGTGGTCCGCTGGTTGTGTGTGATGTTGTCGGAGTTAGGGACTTAACGTCGAGATAAATAGAGACGGATGAGATTTGGTATGATTGTGGCTGTTGTAGAGGAGATTAGGGCAAAAGATAAAGGTAATACTGTGTAATAAGTATAAGATGTGATTATAAGCTTAATACTATTGTACATGAGGTAATATGTATTGTACCTCTTAATTTTCAAGAAACATGCAATATGTTTAATAATATAGTAAAGATAAAGATACTTGGTCCTTTGACATCCTTATAATGAAATTAATTAAAAAGGAAGAAAGAAGAAAGTCGGTTCAAAACCAAACGACCGGAGAAGAACTCCCGAAATTGTTTCTTCAAACGTCACCGACTACGCCTAGTTTGACTCAAGAAAGTGTCGATTGGAGGAGGAAATGGAGAGATAGATGATGGTGTCAGACATTCTTACCCGATAAAATCTTCGAACCATAGAGAAATTGCAATTGTGAAAGAAAATCACAAGTGAGACATAAGTTCCCCAAACGTAGGGTGGATGAGGTACTTGTGTAGAAGAACGATTCTTGTTTCGTTGTCATCTGAAAATTGATAAAGAAGAAAATGTAATTAAAGAAATCATCTAATAATCATCATTAAATTAGATTTAGTATTTTGGGGGAAATGTCACCGACAAGAAGGAAAACCCACTACCAAGTCTTCTACCTCATCGTGAGGTCACGCTAAACGGAAACAAGCAGGCAAGTAGCTTTCATCAACACCAAACGACGCCGTTTATGAATCCTAGTGTCACGTCAGCCTGATGTAGGACTGAGAAGTAGTTTAAGCAGGAAATCAAGCAGCTTACCTCCAGATGACGGAGGCACGGTCGGTGTGGAGTCGACGTAGATACCAAAGAAAGAAGCAGGATGTGGCTCCAAGGCGTGTGAAAAGAGGGAGTGACTAAACTTGAGGCGGTTAGTTAAGACGGTGTAAAGGACGCAAGCAGCTAACCTGGAGCGTAAGATAGAAGCTATGGCAAGCAGGTGAAGAGAAGAAGCTCCTCGATGACATGCATGGAGAAAGAAATGATAGACGATCAAACAGAAAATACATATACATGGAGAAAGATATGGTGATTTTAAACAATAATTTAATCAATATATAAATAGTAATTTAATCATGACAATCCAACTGAATTCTCCAACCCTATTGGGTTCCTTAACACATTAACGTGTCGTTTGGTTCGTTGGAATCCATTGGAATTAGAAGGAATTGGAATTTAATTCCATCACTTTCCTTTGTTTGGTTCAAGCTTTCAAAAGGAATTGGATTCCTAAACTTAAGGAATTAAAAATCCTTTTAAGTGAGAATGTTGAATGTTACCACATTACCCATTTTACTTTTAGCACTACATATGTAACCCTTCTGTCGCCACCATTTACCACTACCCACCACCCACCACCACCGCGACACACCACCACCACCACCTCCTCCGCCACCCACAATCACCACCATCGGTACCTCTGCTATCACCACCCTCCACCTACTAGCACTGTCACCTCCACCACCATCGACCACTGCCACCGCTACCACCACTGTTATCACCACCTCCGCCACAACCACCACCACCTCTACCACCACACATCACCGTCGTCATCACCCGCTACACACCACCATTACCACCACCGCTACAACCACCCACCACCACCAACGTCACCACCATACTACCTTCCACCTCCACTCACCACTCACCACCGCGACCATACTATCACTGTCACCATCACCGCCACCATCACCGCCACCTTCGCCACCACCTTCATCACCACCACCGTTACTATCACATTACCACCTCCACCACTACACCACCCACCACCTCCGCCAGTACTCATGACCGCCATCACCACAATTACTACCGCCATCACCTCAACCACTACTCACCATCACCTTTGTCACCATCATCACCACTATTGCCACCGTCAACATCACTGCCACCATTACCATCATTTACTAATTTTATAATTTATATAATATATTTTTACATATAAGTTATAAAACAAAGTAAAAATAAGCAAAAAGGGCAAATTTGTCATTTTATATTTTTTCAGTTCTATTTTCTGCCAACCAAACATAATATGGAATTGGATTCAAATTTCATTCCTGCTAACCAAACAGAATATGGAATTGGATTGCAATTCTTGATAGATTTCAATTCCTTAACAGATTTCAATTGCTTCAAAAACATTCTGTGAACCAAGCGCCCCCTAAATTTAATCAATTGTATAATAGAAAATTAAAATTACTTTCAAGAACAGGTGACATAACACTTCTCCTTTATATATGCAATTTCTAAACAAATCCATCAACGACTTCACTTCTCCTTTATCTTACCATAGATTTTATAAAATCAAAAAAATGAAGAAGATGATTAATTTTTGTTTCAATCGAAAGTTAATTGCACCAATAGAAATAAGAGGATTAATTTTTGAACATGATCGATGCTGGAATGACAGGGGAACGGCGGCGGGTGGTGTAGCATTGGCGGTGAAGAGGGCCAGTTAGTTTTTTTTTGGCTGACGATTGAATGAGGATGTGGCCGAAGGTGTTGGTGATGTACGACTCTGGAAAAAACGATGGTGTAGGGTTTTAATAGGTAAATAAAAACTGATCCCTTAAATAAAAGGATATCAATTGTTAATTTTGGATATTAATTAATATATATATGTAATATTACTTATTTACCCTTATGAATTTAATTATTTGCTAATTTCTGATTGGCGCATTCAGAAACACAATAGTTGTTAGAAACACAATATATATATATATATATATATATATATATATATATATATATATATATATATATATATATATATATATATATATATATATATATAATATTGTAGTGAATTATGAACATTTATTTCGCATGCGGCATTAAAAGAACTCAAAGAACACGGTGATTTGGGTGCTAAAAGATGCATTCGATCATAGGAATGAGTACAAAAAACGAACAAGATTTTGCTCTACATATGTGACATCTCCATTTTCACGGCCAGAAAAGACCGATTTTGTTTATGCTTTGTTTAAAAATCAGAGTAACATTTTAAATAAAAGTGTTGCGGAATTTGTTCCCAAAATAAAATATGATAAAGATTTATCAAAGCATTTCCGTAGAAATGTATTTCATTAAAAACCTCGGGATGTCATGTTCGATACAGATCAAAAGCATAAACAATACAATATAAGCCTTACTACATTTATTCATATCTACAGGCCTATATCCGTAATCTCCCATCCCAAACATCATATCTATGCTCGTGCACCACTACCTGTAATACAAGAAACTAAGTGGGTCAGGCTTGGGAGCCTGGTGAGCACATAGGGTTTTCAACCCACAATAAATACGTTTATTAATTTCATCAACCAACAATAACCCGATTACCCGTTCCCGTTATCCTCACTTTACGTCCCTAAACACCTATCATAAGGGACCTAGCCTAAGGATCATCATTGGGATGGACACTACTGCTAAGAGGGTTCCTCAGCAATAAATGTCCTAAAGGCAACCATGAGGGGGATGAAGTACACCGGTGAACACATCGTTCACAAACATCTACAGGTTGCGAGCCTCCTAGCGTTCCACTGGACTGTCTAGAAGAGTCCGTGGTTGTCATCCATACTCCGCTAGATGACAGAATCAACAACAACAACATCGAGGCCTCTCATCATTTTATCACACATCGTCCATTACATCTACCCATGTTTTTCCCCAACATTTTTGTAGATATAAAATACATATATATAGTTTAAATCATTTAAAATAGCATAGACAACGAGTATTCAGACAATATGCACACATAGCACGTAATTTATATTAAATACTTCTTATCTATGTGTAAGATGAAAGTGACTATGCACTCACCTGTTAGGGTGGTGACTCGGTACTCGGACAGCGCTTCGTTATCTCAAAACAATTTTTCCCTTGACAAAACCTAGTATCAATACCACTAGGGTTTAGTCTAACGTTAACCGCGACTAATTAATAGTCTAGATATTATTACTATTATATAAGCGTTAAACAACACTCTATATAACTCATAATAATAGCCCAAATAATTATTTTAAGGTCCTAATAATGTTACTATAATTAAATAAAAGCTATATTAAAAATAGCATAGGCATAGCTCACTTACAGCGGGTTTTATAGAAAACCGGGCTTTGCTTGGAGCAGCGTTTCCGAACCGAAAGACCATTTTTCTCGGGACTCCGGGAGCCTCGGGGCTTCCTTCGGGTGCTAGGGGTTTACCTAGGCTTAGGAAGGGGTTAGGGGGCTTAGAGAGAGACTCTAGAGAGAGAATGAAAGCTTGAGAGGTGTGAAGAATGCTCTACCCACGAACATCTATTTATAGGAGGCTGAAATGGCTCTCACGTCGTGAATCTCTTGATGTTCACGTCGTGAGTGAGCTTGGGCTCCAAGTCACAGCCTGGTGCTGACACGTGGCATCGCACACAGGGTGGAAATCTGCCGATTTTCAAAAATTCATAACTTTCGCATACGAGCTCCGTTTTTGACGTTCTTTATATCCACTCGTAGGTAAAAATAAGATCTACAACTTTC